TGGTGCCAGCGTGGTGCCAGTGCTCCCTGGGCACTGCTGTCCCATTTTGGACCCAGCAGCCACAGTCAGGGATGCACAGACCTGTCAGTGATAAATCTGCACTGCTCAGCCCTGGGTGTGAATAATCCAGCCTTGAGAAGCAACATGAACAACAGGAGCCTGAAGGTGATAGTTGAGCTTGGCTACACTGTGTGCTGAACTAACTCCAGTCTTTCTCAGGTGATGAGTTTGGATTTATCCATCTCCTGCACAGAGGTATGTAAAGTTCTTAAACGAGTAACAGGTACCTTCTCGAGCCTGAAACACTAATTAACATACTGGCAATAACTGAGGGTGATGAGAGGTTTCATTTTAACACCTGTGATTTCTTTGCAGGTCTCCAATTGAGAAACATGGCACTGTTTTTTTTCCTGCACTCTACCCACCTATTGCTGGACTTCTGTTGTTACAAGTTGGCAAACACTGGCTGGAACTGGGCTGCAATAAAACATGCCAGTTATCAATGCTGACAAGAGCCTAACAAGTGCCAACACAAGATGATTACGCATTTTGAAATCTAATGAACTGCTTTAACCTTCAGGAAGAATTGTAAAGATGTGTACATAGCACAACATGATCCGGATAATATATATACTGTTCATGTACATCCACAAATACACATTGTACCAAATAATGCTGTCAGTAGTTAGGAATAGAATTGTGTAAATTCTAAAGATTTTAGCAGGTTTTTTTCTCTCCCTATTCATTGTTTCCTATGAGTTTAAAAAAAAAAAAAAAACAACAACCAACCAAACAACAACTTGTGAAGCATGTCAAACTAAAAACAATTAGGATAAAGTTGTTTTTTTGGTTTTATTTTGGTTTTTTTCTTCCCCCCTCCCACTTTAATTTTCCTTTGACCCCCTGAGGCTTAATTAAAATTTCTCGCTTATTAAAGTTTAGTATCTCTTTTTTTTTTTTTTTTTTTGGGGGGGGGGGGTTTGGAAATGTGCTCCCTTTTATTTCCCCCCATGAGAACTTTAAAATTTTCCTAATTAAACCCTGAAAGGATTTGCTATCAATTACTTGTGTCTTCTTTTATGATGACCTTTGTAGTCTCAAAGGTGCTTTATTATTATTTTTTTTTCCTTCCCACCCCTTTTTTAAACCCAATTGCTCCTCCTTCTTGAATTGGGTATAGCAATAAAACTGGCCCTGGAGCACCCTTGAGCAGCCTGAGGGATTTTTAACTTCCAAGGACTTGAGTGAGTGCTTTCACTTGGAAGTTCAGTTGACTAAGTTAGTCCAAGATAGGAATGAGCTGCTTTTTAGGGGTGAGATTTTTGGTTTGCCTTTTTCATTGCCTGTTTGTGGGGCGGGGGGTGTGTGTGGGGGAGGCTTGTTTTTTCTCAAGGTTGAGTTCAAGCATGCACATCTGTAGGCTTTCAAATGACTAACTTCTGGGTTTGCTCTCAAAAATAGTTTCCCTCCTTCCTTTACTCTCTTCTGTGGCCCTTCATCTGCTTTGCCTTCTACTCCAGAGTTTTCCTCACCTAATGTACAAAGAAAATTACGATGTATATTTTCATGTAATTTGATTTTTGGAATTCTGTCACCTGTAGTGAGTTCTTCCAAAATATAATTTTTTCCAATAACAATGTGTCAAACTGGCTGTCTTGAGTATGGAAATAGGAAAGGTACTTGCAGTTGGAGCCCATCTTACCTGAACATCTTCAACAGCACCACACCAGCAAACACTTGAGGAATTTGACATGCTGTGCTTCATCTTCAGCAATGAAAGAGCAAACAAAACACACCTTTCTCCCTCTTGTAACCATCTTTGGCCCTCTAGTGAGCAAATAGTTATCTCAGAGTGGCAAGAGTTTTCCAAGCCTTTTGACCAAGGAAACTTTTTATATAGAGAAACCTGAAACTACTTGACTGTTTTCTTTTTGCAGACCAGTATAACCCACCAATAAATCAAGAGTTCCAGTGTCAGAGTCAGCTTGTAAGAAGCCTTCAGTCCTAATTTGCTGGCTGGACTTCATTTCACGTTGCTGTGCAAGATGCATGTGCTAAAAGACTCATATTCCAGGTTTTGTGAGGGGTGGGCTGGGGTGGAAGGAGGTGACAGTTGTTAGTTGGGGGGGGGAAGGGATGAAAAAAGCCATTTAGTGTAAGAGGATTTACAAGGAAAGGTATTACTTCCTCCTACAGGTGGTTTAGATAAACATAGATATGTTTAATAGCCACATTTACATATTTGGGAACTAATTACTTTGTGAAATCATTAGTTAAACTTGCTGTTAATTGCCTAGCCTGCTCCTGTGTGTGCAGCACACTGGTGCCCAGACACCTCAGCTGATTTGAATTCCTGTCTGAGCACTTGCCCAAAATGGCTTGAGAACAGGTTTCTTTTCCACTTATTTAAGAGTTGGGACTGTGCAGAATTTCAGTGGCATGGTGCCATTCCTTCCATAAACAAAACACTGGGAAGAAGCTGCTCTTCCTACACCTAGCAATGGGTTTCTTACCCCACAGGCTGCCCTTCCCTTTCCACAGTGTATCTGGAGCTGAGAGCAATTCAAGGTAATTCCTGCTTTCAGCAAGTTCAACAGAGTTCTCTGTTTTGTCTTCCTAAGTAACAGAGTTCACCACAGACTCACCTGTAACTTCACAAAATAGTTTAGAGCTTTATTTCTGTTTGCTCTCCAGAATTGCTGCCTGTTTGTTCTTTAGGGGGTAGGGCTGGAAATGTTAGTGTTGCATCAGTGCTGTGGAAGAACTGGGAATTCCACAGCACTGGGAATTCCACTGGAATTCATTCCCTTCTTCGTAAATTATTCAGATACATGTTTGTGATTCCCCGTGACCCAGATATTCCAAAGGAACATTCCTGTGGGACACTGCTAAGATGTCCAAGCTGCAGGGATGGCTGATGCCCACTGACTAAAGGAAGGAGGCAGCTCAGGGGCTGCTGCCAAGTGTCCAGGTTGTAGGAATCCTCTGGCAGGGATGGAAATGGCCTAGTTCACTTTGCTGTGATCACAGTTGGCTGTTTGTTTGTTCCTGCCCCACACTAAAGAGGCACAAGCTGTGACTTACTGACAAACCAGATGGGAACACCACTGAGGAGCTGCAGTTTGGGCAAGGAATGTGAGGATACTTGGGGAACAAGCAGGTAAACCAGCATTACATGGTTGCACTTGCCCCAAGACCCTGTGTCTGGTTTGGACTGTCCAGGCTGTCATGTTTGTGCATCCTGGGTGCTCAGTTACACTGCTGAGGTTCTCTGGGGGCTCCTCATCATGGCTGAGGTTTTGAGCTGATTTTTCCCCCAACACGGTGACCTGTGTTCCAGGTAACACTGTATCACTGGGGGAAAAGGAAAAGCATCAAACATTAATAAATATCAGAGTAATATGGCCATCCTAATTCCTTTTTTGTATTTCTCTATGCTGCCCCTTATGCATCAGAGAAGATCTCTAAAAATCAGAAGGGCTGTTGAGCTGTCAGGGTAAAATTCCTTCCTGCTGTGATGCCTAGAAAACACTGGACGATCAATAAAGGGAAGACATGAATTCTGAAGTGATTAGAAGGGTATTTTGGGTTTTGGGAGGTCGATGGGGGGTGGACTCTGCTGTGTCTGTACCATCTGGTACCCTGCTCTTGGGTCAGTGCCATCCCTGCACACAGAGCAGCACCTCGAGTCTCCTTTCTGCATCTCTTCAGAAGCACCACCAATGATTTCAAACCAAACCAGAGGCTGTTCAGGGTTTAAACAGAGACTGTCACACGACACCTTCCTGCCCAGGCAGATCCTCAGAGGAGATTGTTGATTCCCCTGACGCAAAACACCGCAGTAGTTTGAAATCTGATCTCTGTTGTTACTGAGAAATTAAACTAAAATCTGATCAGGCAGCAATAACTGTTCTCTCCAGTTCCTCAAGATGATCAATGGCACCATAAGCAGTGGTGTAAGTCACCTACACAGCACAGTCATACAGAGTTGTCATCAGGCTGTGCAAAATGAGATGGGTTGTTCTGTGGTATGTCCTGAAAACCACAGTCTGTGGCTCTCCTGGGCCCAGTTCTGGTTTTGCTGTCTTACCCAACAGGCACAGAAAACAAACTTGATGCAGAGCAACTCCTCAGAGGTCACTTCATGGTCCAGATAAAATGATGACTGTCAGACAATACTGTGCATAATGTCTTCAAACGTTTAATTGTAATTTGCTCTTCAAGGCAGGCAAAAAAAAAAATTGCTGTTGGCATTTTCTGATCCAGCTAAGCAGGAGAGATGTTGAGCCACCAGAACAGCCGAGGGGCAGCTGTGCTGGGAAAACGATCCTGGTCATTGCTGTCCACTCTCAAAACCACTTTTCACCCACCGGGCACAGCTCCAGTGTCCAGGGGCACAGATCAATGGCCAGGGAGCACAAATCCAGTGTTCAGGGGCACAGCTTCAGCATCCAGGGGACACAGATCAGTGTCCAGGGGCACAGCTCCAGTGTTGGCTCTGAAAGAAAAGCAGGAACTCTCTGGAAGTGGCGATGACAGGAGCGATGGCTGCGAGCCGCGCTGGCCCCGGGTGAGCAGCAGCAGGTGTCCTTCGGGATTTGCTGGTGCCGGTGGAGCCGAGGTGATGCAGAGATGATGCCCAGCTGCGTTCCGCCGGGGCTGGGCGGTTTCCCGGCGCTCCCAGCCCTGCCCGTCGGCGCGGTCCCTTCACCGCCCACACGGGATCCCCGGCACCGCGGGGCGTCTCATCCACGGGGGAAGCGCACGGTGCTTCCCGCTGCTGCGGGGCGGGGCGGGAGCGGGGCGGGGCTGGCTCCCGGGGGCCGGTCCCGGCGGCGGAGCGGGAGGAGCCGCGGGAGAAGGCGGGAGAAGGCGGGATAACGCGGGGCGAGGCGGGACAAGGCGGGATAACGCGGAGGGCGCGGGTCGGTCCCCGCTCCGCCGTGTGGGGGGCGCGGCCGCGGGTCGCGCTGCTCTCGCGAGAGCGCCGCGCTGTGGCGGCGGGGCGGGCGGCGGCTCTCGCGAGAGCTGCGGCGCCGGACCCAACATGGCGGAAGGTGAGGGGGGGAGCCCGGGCGAGGGGCCGGGCGGGGCCGGGGCCGCGGGGGCTCTGCCGCTCGCGGGGCTGCCCCGTGTGCGGCCCCCGCCGCTCCCCGGGCCGGGGCGGGCTCGCCCTGCCCGCGGCGGGGGGGACGCGCCGCCCCCGAGGCGAGCGGGAGGTGGCGGGGGGCCGCGGGCGGGCACCCCCGAGGCGGGCCGGGTGCGGGCGGCTTCGCTCCTCAGGAGGTGGGGTGTGGGGACGCTGTGGCTCCGGGGTGCTGCAGGCGGGGAGAGCTCTCTGGGACGTCCTGCCGAGCCCTCCCCGCAGGCAGTGGGTCCGGCGGGGCCGCGGGCGGTGCCGCCCGGGCCGGGGGGCTCATCCCGGGGCTTCCCGGAGGGCTCATCCCGGCCGGCTTTCCCTGGAGCCTCCCGGGGCTGTGCTGCAGCCTCCCGGTCACCTGTGCTCGAGCCCTTTTGTCAGGCTCTGGTGAGACCTGCAGAGCTCCCGGAGTGCTGCTGCTTTGCCTGAAAGGTGCCGGTGACACCGTGCAGATCAATTCAGTATAACGGGATTTGGAAAAAAGCGCTTGGATTTTTACAGTTCTACTCGTTTCTGCAAGTCGAGGTTCCTCTTTTTCTCCTCGGAGGGAACTGAGTCGGCAAACTGAGCTAAAATGCCACGAGTTACAAAGGAAATGAGTTTCCAGTCTCCAAAGCACAGCCTTCAACTCCTCAAGGGTGACTCTGAGACTGTGGTGGAATTTTAGGACCACTTGTGGAAGATGGACTCGGATGTAGCAGATGCTGATCTCTGTCATGCGTCAGCCGAGAGGATGCTGCAGTCAGGCTCGTTTAATAAATCCTTAGAGCAACTCCTAACTTCTTGTGTGCTGGAATCCCACAGCTCCATGTTTAGCTGACCAGCCTCTTAGGCTTGCCTTTGAGCCTTAGTGACCAGGTCTGGAGGGCTTTAGATGTCCAGGTTGTGTTCAGGTAGTGAAACTTTGCCCACTGAGACCCTCAAGGACTGAGGCTCTGGCTCAGGGTCCTGCTCTGCAGAAACAACCTGCAGTTGGGGCAAGCCCTGGTGCAGACATCTGAACTTCTCAGAGATTCTTCCCTGACTCAAGGAATTCTCTGATCTTTTGGCTGAAGGAAGCACATGACCAATGAATGGTCCTGTGTGAACAGGAATAATAAGCTGGAGTTGCAGCTCTCCTCACTCTGTTCCGTAGGGTATCTTGATAGAGAGGCTTGTTTTGTCCCTTCAAACAAGGTAATTAGATGCAGAAACATTTTTCTAGTTAAGAACTGATGATATTGGAGAGTCAGCAGGAAAGTAAAGGCTTATTGAGGAGGGGAGCTTGTCAAACTCTGCTTATTTGCTCAAAGCCCAGTGCTTTTTCTTAAGGAAGTGTTGCCTCTGTGTACAAAAGTCCTGAATTAGATTTACTGCAATTACTACCTACAAATGGAACAGTTTATAAAGACAAGGGCTGAGCATTTGTAGTGTCTGTGAGTTCTGTACCACTAATACCAGAGGTTTGCATGCAGGTTACGTGCAGGTGTGGGTAAAAACTGTTGGGTTAAGGCTTGAATGTAAAGCAGCAGGAAGTTTGCTGTACAACTTTGGGGTGGGGTCAAGGTGAAGATCAAAACTGGGCAAAAATGAGGCAGAACAAGAAAGCAGCAGCTTGTACAGCCTTGTGGGGCTGAGGGTCAGAGTGTGGAGCAGTGGAGGAAGGACCTGACTCCAGGGGTTAAGGAAATAATTTATTTTTCTGAAGTATTTCACTCAGTTCTGCTTCATAAGTAAACAAATGTTTGCCTTTATTGCTTCTGGGAGTGTTTTATGATGGGTGGGATGGGCAGTGTAATGAGTCCTTTTGTCGGGCTCTGGTGAGCTCTGCAGAGCTCCTGGAGTGCTGCTGTTGTGCTGCAAGGGTGTCAGTGACACCATTCAAATTGATTTAGTCTAATGGGACTTGAAAAAGCACTTGGATTTTAACAGTTCTCTTTTCTGCAATACAAGCTTCCACTAGACCCTCTTAATTTTTGGAAGGTGCTATCTATCTCCCCATTCCCTGTTGCCTCCCTACTTATCTCTTTGCATTCAACTATCCAGTTGCTCTCAAGTGCTTTTGTGCCTTCTCCTGTAAGAAAAATTCATTGGCCTTTCCTGAAGTCCTCTTTGAAGTCTTTGATATGGAATATAAACTGCCAGTTCATGAGATGCTGGTCTATCTACCAGAAAGCTGTTAACAAACACTGCTTTTATTTTCTTGCCTGGCCTCTGGGAACTCAGTACCTCAGAGGGGGAGTCTCTTTGTCTGTCCCTCTCTGCTGAACCCAGACATCTCTTCTCTGAGTAATTTAGATTGATGTTTAGCCAGAGACTTACTGGTGTCTTACTGAGTCTGTCCTTCCAGTGTGTTGAGGCAAAGATCTTCATTAGGGGGTGTGTGCCTGCAGTAACTGTGCATTTGGCTTGTGCACTCTTTAAGTGAACAATATCCAGGGAAAACTTGAGGCTTTTCTCTTTTCAGTGAGTGTTGATTAACTGGGTGTTGAGAACTGTCGTGAATGTGCACTTGAAATGTGCTCTGAGATCAAATATTGTCCTCAAGTGTGGCCACTACACAAGAGGTGTGCAGCTGTCATGTAGAATAACAGAAACTCTTATTTTACAACTCTTGTGATTATTACAGTAAGCAAATACCTCTCAGTCCTTCTCACTGAGGTTGCAGGAGGGATGTGCTGTCAGTCTGAAAACAAGATTTCTCACAGCTTTGGTTCCTTGAGGTGCTTTCACTGCCAGTAGGGATTGTCTGGGATTGCCCTGGGAGCAGCAGGAACAAGCCTGATGGTCAGTGATGCACAAAGCTTCAGTTACTGCTTTTTAGGGTTTTAAGGTAGTTCTGCCTTGTGCCCTGTTGAACTCAGGCTAGTTTGGAGCCAGGGAGCTGACCTTGGTAGAATGGCAATATTTGAGATGTTGCCTCTGGTACTGGCTCTTTATTCCCACCATCCCACTCCCGGGGAGGCCTGGGAGGTGCAGTGTTTCTCTTAGGTGGTGTGTGCTGTGAGGTTCAGTGGGCAGCTTATTCCTGGCATTTGAATTTGTTTGCCACCTAAAACTCTTGCTGTGTGGACAGTGGTGGTGTTCATACTCTAATTTTTGGTGCAGTCCTCAGTGTCTTTCCCTCTGAGTTCCTGTCAGACTCCAGCTTTCCCTGCTCTAACAGTAGCACTTGCTCTGTGCCCCCTGACACCTTCCTTAGGAATCAGTCAGGAAGCCATTGCTCAATAGATGTGCCCTTCTGATTCTGAGAACACCAGCACTACATTTATCTTCAGATAGAAAGACTGACCACAGCAGGATTTCAAACCCTCTTTGAGGGTTGGTGTGGCACAATTCTGAAATCACAGCATATTTCAGTAGAAAAAGGAAGCTATCCCAAAGGAGATGATATCTATGAAATTTTAAAGGGTGAAGCTGAATAAAAAGCTGTTGAAGGAAGTACCTTCATAGAATACAAGTACAAACAGAGAATAAAATATGTTGCTTTCTGTTTATCCATTGCAGTAGTTAAGTTTAAAGACTTTGCTGCAGAGTTGGTAGAGGAAAGGCTGAATGAGGTGTTCTGTCTGCAAGGCCAAGGTCAGCTGTGCTGTTGAACTTTTCTACAGAAGCAAGAAGAAAGCTCTGATCAAGAGCTCAGTTTCTCGTTGTTTGTATTAGTGACATTTAGTAAATATTTGACGGAAGGTCACTGAATGATGAATTCCTGGCTGGTAGGGAGTAATCTTGTAGGAACTTTCCCACTTAAAATCATTGGTTAGATTTGTAAGGTGTTTCTTAGCTGACAGTAGCTAAGGCAGATATGGTACTTCAGCAACTGTTGTAATGCTCACTTGTGTTTTAAGTCTCAGCTCTGAAGTCAAATGACATCTTAACTGGCCTGAAAAAATGGGTAAGAACCAAAGAGTTAGTCCTCTACCCCACCACAATTCCCACAGTCATGGACTCCCATGGCTTTAGAAAACTTACAGCATTCCTGACAAAACAGAGTTCAGAACTTTCTTTGTAAGCGGCTTCTATCACTGTGTTATGTTTTTTGATGTGTTTATGGAAATGATTTGAAATAGGTTTAATATTGGGGGTGAGATGCTCAAACACGGTGGAAGAGGGAGAGACCCTTCCTGGAGTGCTGTGTGATTAACTGGATGTGTAATGTGAGGGCGAGCTACCCTCAGACACCAAAGGTGTGCATGTCTCAGCCTTACCTGGAGTAACACTGTGCCTTGCAGAGGAGGTGGCCAAGCTGGAAAAGCACCTGATGCTCCTCCGCCAGGAGTATGTGAAGCTGCAGAAGAAGCTGGTGGACACAGAGAGGAGGTGCAGCCTCCTGGCTGTGGAGGCCAACCAGGACAATGCCAGCGACACCTTCATCAGTCGGCTTCTCACCATCGTGGCTGAGCTCTACCAGCAGGAGCAGTACAGGTGAGGGATCCCCCTCTGGCACCTTGGATTTTCATGGCCACACTGGGTCCTGGTCTTAGGGGAAGTGCTTTGCTGCGTGGTGTGAAAGAGTTGCAGTTGGAAGATCAGGTGGCACACTGAATCCAGGTGTTGAATCAAGAGCTCTAAGCAGAAGTTTGTCTCTAAGACTGACACTTAAGACATTCAGAGAAAACTGACCATGATCACTATCAACAGCCAAGCTCCCTCTGAACAGAAATAACTTTGAACTGGTCTAGTGGATGGAATAATTACACAGCATATCTGGAAAACCTTACTTTCTTGAAAGACTCTGTCCTTGAAGCCAGTTCTGTGCTCCTCTTGTGTGTAAAGAAGCCTGATTAAATTGGCTTGTCTGGCTGTGTTAGTGATGTATATGATGCAGTGATACAAGTCATACTGTATTTTTAAATCTCAACACATAATTAGGTTTAATGGTTTCCATAGGCACATTAAGGATCACCTTCAATACTCCAGATCCCTGAACTGATTTAATTCTGAAACTACAGTGATATTTATCAATTTCTTTGCTGTTACTGAAAGCAATGCCAAGAGAGTAAAGGAGTTTAGTCATGTAAAGGGAGAATCTATTTTGATTCAACTTCCTTGCCTGGCCATCTCTTCATGAGCCTCCCTGAGAGAAGGGTCTGTGCCTGCAAGAACTCACTGTAGCCTGCTGGGTGAAAGATTTGTTAGGTAGGATATGTCAGAAGAGTTGGATCACTTTATTTCTGTTCAGCTTTAAAGGCACAGAAATGTTGTCTGAAAGGACCTACAGATATAAAATGAGAAAGGTGGTGAGTCTCAGTGCAGGTTTTGTTAAGTAACATTTCTATTTTGTCCTGTAGTTTATAGCTTTGAGTTACAAAATGGTCTGGAAAGCACCTACACAGCCAGAACATTTGCAAGCCGTGGGACTTTAAAATAAGCAGGGCAGGTATTTTCTAACTGCAGAGAATAACCTGGTGTAAAGGGGTCAGGATGAAATTGGTGTTCTTGACAGCTGGTCTCCTGGGAGCTGAGGATTCTGCCTTGCACTCAGATTGCTGTCAAACAGCATTGTGCTCTTGCTGGTCTTGCCTGAAACCACTGGTGCTTAGCTGACAGTATTAGTATGGACACTGTGACATAAATATTTAACCTCAAGATTGTTGGCTTTTCCTAACTTCTGCAATAATCCTCTTGCTGTTCATTCTGAAATGGTTAAAAAAATCCACAACCCTAACCAAGCACTTGAAATACTAATGACTGATTGCATTTCTCCCTAGAAAAATAAGAATTGTCATCTGACATGTTCTACTTAAAAAAATGAACGTGTTTTAAGTCTCCAACAACTTGAACCTAAATGGGGATACTAGGACATGTGGAGATGCTGAATCCATATGTATCCAAGCACAGGGGGAGTCTGCATTACACATGTTGATGCTCTTTTCTCAGTGATCTGAAGATAAAGGTTGGGGACAAGCACATCAGAGCTCACAAATTTGTCCTGGCGGCACGCAGCGACACGTGGAGCCTCGCCAACCTCGCCTCCACCGAGGAGCTGGATCTGTCAGGTCAGTCCCTGCTGAGTAATGTGATGCTTTGGTTGCCTTTAGGGTGACTGGTGAAAGGGCCTGTTGGGAAAAGGTTACTTGTGTGCCCTCCAGACCAGTGCTGTCCACTGAAAGTGGTGCTTGATCTGTTGATTACGGATTTCAGAGTCTCTGAAACGTGGTGGTGAGCTTGTGACTGGGTGTTAGCGCTGGTTAAATCAATAACCTGCCTTCTTTCTCTTTAACAAACAGGGGCTGAGATTGGTGGCCTGTTTGTCTTTTCTAGAGTCAACTAAACATAATGAAAAACAAATCTGTTTGGAGGAACTTGACTTCTTCCTTTCTAAGGACAGGGCTTTTTGAGGTAGTGTGCATCATTTCTCTGAAGTGTGTCATGGAAATACCTTGCTGCTTGTTAACACGGTGTGTGTGGGAAGTGAATCCAAATACTGGTGTTATTAAAGGTGTTTGCTTTGGTACTTTGATACCTTTGCAAAATAGGTGAGGAAGAGAAGGTTTCTAAAAGACCATCTTCTACATGAGTGTTTTGTTCTGCTGTTTCTTGCATGTACTTACACTGGGCAGTGTTTCTACAGTCTGAACCTCTTGACAGGCTTTTCTGCCCTTAACAGTGTGGAAGAGCCTTATACAATTAATTTATGAGCATTAAAACCAGGTATGAAGTTAAGCAGGCTGCTGACTGGCATGTTGAATATTAAGCACTGGCTTCACTTTCTGCACTTAATCTTACCATGAATCCCAAGTGCAGACAAACTGGAAAAGGAGCAAGTCACAGCAAGCTGTTCCTTGCAATGTGATTTATGGGTCTTTCTGCAGCCACAAGAAAACAGATGCCAAGGAGTTCTTAATTTGAGTGCTATGCTAACAAAAATTATTACTAAAAAGCTGTTATGTTAATTGTAGTGTTGTTACCAGTGGCAGTGCACAGCATTTCTAGCTCCACAGCTAAGCTGAAAATCTCAACTGTAACTGCAGTCTTAAATGTTCAACAGTGCAAACACTTCCTGTTACAAAATGATGCTTGAAAGAAGTGCTAGTAAATGATACTTTCCACTGTAAAATTGAATTTTTTATAAAATTCGAGA